AGGGGCGAGGTTATGGGTGTAGCTGAGAGAGAGAGGGGAATGAGGTGGGGGCGGTAAGGTGGAGTATACTGTGTGTACTCCAACGCCCCTTAGCTTGCATGTAGAGGGAGGGAGGGAGGGAGATGTGTAATATTTCGATCGTCACATGCCGTTCTTAAGAGACCTTGGCTGTGAATGCGATTGTGAGTGACCAGCGGGACTGCGGTTGAGAGTGACGAGGAAAACCGTGGTTGAGAAAAACAATATAAAATAAATACGTACATACAGGCGGTGCAAGGACTATTAGTCGCCGGCCAATTAGTCGTACTGTACAGACATAACGTACACTATATATATAACCAACACCAGCCATTAGAGCAGCAGCGGGCGCGTGGTGGAGACAGCGTGGCTGGGTTATGAAGGATGGTAGTTGAATGAGTGCCAGGGTGGCCCTCCTCCTGACTCTACCTGGCTGGTTACCTGGCACCCGGGGTCAGCCAGGGTGGCCCTCCTCCTGACTCTACCTGGCTGGTTACCTGGCACCCGGGGTCAGCCAGGGTGGCCCTCCTCCTGACTCTACCTGGCTGGTTACCTGGCACCAGGGGTCAGCCAGGGTGGCCCTCCTCCTGACTCTACCTGGCTGGTTACCTGGCACCCGGGGTCAGCCAGGGTGGCCCTCCTCCTGACTCTACCTGGCTGGTCACCTAGCACCCGGGGTCAGCCAGGGTGGCCCTCCTCCTGACTCTACCTGGCTGGTCACCTGGCACCAGGGGTCAGCCAGGGTGGTCCTCCTGATGACTCTACCTGGTTGGTCACCTGGCACCCGGGGTCAGCCAGGGTGGCCCTCCTCCTGACTCTACCTGGTTGGTCACCTGGCACCAGGGGTCATCCAGGGTGGCCCTCCTCCTGACATTTCCTGGTGGTGACACACAGGGGCAGGTGAGGCCGGAGGAGTGACGACCTCACTATCACCTCCACAATTATCACCACCATCTTGCTCCAAGAATATCTGGGGTGTTAATAATGTGGGGAAAAAGGGAAAAAGATAAACATTGGCTAAAAGCAAGAAAACACTACAGGAAAAGAGGACATTAGTCTCAAGGAAGAAGTTACTGAGGTGAGAATTATAAATATGTGTGTGTGTGTGTGTGTGTGTGTGTGTTAAAACTAATATTTCCCTTACATCGGATGAATTATCACACCTGGACACAGTTACCGTCCACGAGGTAAGTGAGCGAGGGATGATGACCACGATACACCTGTGATAACGTATACCTGCCTCCAGATACTCGAACACTATTGGGTGAATATTTCCCCATAAATATCTAAGGGTATGGGAGAGGAGGAGAGGGTGGCAGGGGGAAGAGGGTGTCAGGGGGAAGAGGGTGTCAGGGGGAAGAGGGTGGCAGGGGGAAGAGGGTGGCAGGGGGAAGAGGGTGGCAGGGGGAGATAGTGACAGGAAGAGAGGATGACAGGGGAAAGAGAGGGAAGAGAGTGGGCAATAGGGGGAGGTGGGGGGGTTGGCACGGGGTGGGGCACTAGGGTATGCGAGACGACATACCTGCACCGCTAATACCTTCCCTCCACTAATTAACCGGCCTTAATAAATCCTCCAAATCACGTACATTATATCCGTGGCAGCTGCGTCCGTGACACTTCCTGGGAGTGCCTCGTCTCACACGGAAGTCATTGGGCACCACGTACATTTAGCGGTGTACGTGGCACTTTTTGTTTGCACTTGATATGGAACTCACTGCCACGTACAAAAAGGACATGGACAGGGTTGTGTTGTACTTGGAAAAAGAAGTCATATTCATAGGTCCGTCGCCACCACTACCACCACCACACGACCGTCACACTACCACACGACCGTCACACTACCACATGACCGTCACACTACCACGCGACCGTCACACTACCACATGACCGTCACACTACCACGCGACCGTCACACTACCACGCGACCGTCACACTCATAAGAAAACCAAGTGCCTTTCCGGACAGATCTATATAGTCATCTCAATAGCTCTAACCCCTCCCACCTAGATATGTGTGTGTGTGTGTGTGTGTGTTTGTGTGTGTGTGTGTGTGTGTGTGTGTGTGTGTGTGTGTGTGTGTGTGTTCAACTTGCAAATTTAGGCGAAGGTCATATATCACTAACAGCAATTATTTAGTTATTACATTATATTACAAGAGTTACAGTGAACGAACTCAATACTCAAAAGGTGGATAAAACAAGACTGACCAAGAAAGACGTAGAAATAATAAACATCAGGAAGCAAAGATAAACAAGAAGTGACCCTGACTCATCCACGAAAAAGTCATCAGTCAGGTCAGGTCAGGCTGTATTAAACCAAGAAAAAAGGACTGTTGGGTATTGTGGCTTGGCAGGTGTCTGGTAGTATTAGTTCACAGATGCTGGACAGACGGTACAGTTGGTGGGGTAAAAATATCTGTCTAAACTATGGTGTTGAGTCTGACCGAATTATCACAGTGATCCCTTCTGTTTACTGTAGATGACGGGACCACACGGCCATTCTCTCCTCTTCTTCCCCCTCTTTGTCTCCCTTCTCTCTTATTACCTTTCCTCCTTGCCCCATTTTTCGTTTTTTACTTCCTTTCCTTCTTTCCCACTACCTTTTACATCTGCTCCTTCTCTCCCTGTTTCCTCCTTGTTCATTACCCTCCCTGCCTCTCTTCTCGTTAACTACCTTCCATATCAAGATAGATTACAGAAACTAAACTTGCATTCCCTAGAAAGACGAAGAGTGCGGGGAGATATGATAGATAGGATAGGACTCGTAGCAACGGATTTAAGTTGGATAAGTTTATGTTTAGGAGGGAGATAGGAAGGAACTGGTTCACAAATAGGGTGGTGGACGAGTGGAACAAGCTTAGCAACTTTGTAGTAAGTGCTGGGACGCTAGAAAGTTTTAAAAGGAGGCTGGATAGATTAATGGACGATAGAGTGGTTGTAACTCTCGACAGGAGCTGCCATGAACAGGTCAACCGGCTTATTGCAGACTCCTTATTTTCTTATGTTTTCTTTTTGTTTTTTTACCTCCTTCCCTCCCTACCTCCCTTCTCATTCAATACCTCCTCTCCGTGCCTCCCTTTTTCTTACTTCTTGGCCTCTCCCCCCTCATCCTAACAGAGGTGAGTGAGGGCGTGTCTCAGGGATGGGTTTACAGTTTCCGGGGAGGGATGTAATGAGACATCTCATCTGTATTGATGGAGGCCAGATGTGAGGCGGCCTCAGTCACACATTCCATTGAGGACCACAGTGATTTACTACAGACAGACAGACAGACAAATATAGCCAGACAGAAAGACAGACAAAGACAGACACAAATAGTCCTCTCTCGCTGCCTCATCCTACTCACCATAAGGCATAATTACCAATATAAAAAAGACATCATCATCATCATCTCTCTCTCTCAGTGACAACATTAACTCACTAATCGTTAGTTTTGTCTACAATTTGCTGTCTTAAATAACCTGAATCGAAGAATAGACAAGATGACAAGACGCTGCCCGTGATGGATGAGGCAGAGAGACGACCAATCACCATGACTTTTACATTGACATTCATCAGAGAGACGACCAATCACCATGACTTTTACATTGACATTCATCAGAGAGACGACCAATCACCATGACTTTTACATTGACAGTCACCAGAGAGACGACCAATCACCATGACTTTTACATTGACATTCATCAGAGAGAGGACCAATCACCATGACTTTTACATTGACATTCATCAGAGAGAAGACCAATCACAATGACTCTTACATTGACAGTCACAACACAACACCTCAACACAACACCACACTCACACTGACAGTAACACCACAAAACACCACAAAACAAACCACAACACCACAACGCTGACATCTCCCGTATGACAGGCGGCTTCGTGCTATACCAAGTGCTCAGAATAATTGATACAGCATAATAAAATTTCGAGGATGAGCAACGAAGACAATATTTATTTGTAACTTTTTCGTGTAAATCAATCAATATACAGTTTAAGTAAATATGTATTAGTCTTTTGTATTAGTAAGTAAATATGTAATAAATAAGATTTATGATATGTAGGGAAATAAAGATGTGAAAAAAATAAATATAAAGATTTGTAAACAAGTAACTCTTTTAAATAAATAAATAAGTTCTTCCATAATAAATAAATAAGATAACTATAAAAGAAAACTTAGAAATGAGAGAAATGATAAAAAAAACAACAGAATGATGAACGTCGTTATTGTTCACCCGACTAAATATTGTTCATTATATAGGCCTGAATGAACAGCTACATGACTGGTGAACATTAATGAACGGGGTTATCGCACATTTAATAACTGTTCTTGTTTTATGTACTTGATAATGAAGCTATAATGACGGGTTAACAAAAACAGTATCTAAGGCTATTTCTTGTTACTCTTCCACGGTTCTGGGGTCGTGTGTCTACCGGGTCTAACAAGAGGCGTGAACCGTGGGTGTGTGAACCGTGTACCGTGGGTGTGTGAACCGTGTACCGTGGGTGTGTGAACCGTGTACCGTGGGTGTGTGAACCGTGTACCGTGGGTGTGTGAACCGTGTACCGTGGGTGAACCGTGTACCGTGGGTGTGTGAACCGTGTACCGTGTGTGTGTGGGTGTGTGTAACCGTGTACCGTGGGTGTGTGATCCGTGTACCGTGGGTGTGTGAACCGTGTACCGTGGGTGTGTGAACCGTGTACCGTGGGTGTGTGAACCGTGTACCGTGAACATGCCGGGCAGCTGGTGGTGGCCGGGTTGGCGCCAGCATCAAACACCTCATAACTAATTACTCATTAATCTATTTATATATTACTAGGTATGTACAGTCAGAAATTCACCATGGAATACAAAATAGGCAATACTTACGAATCCAAAAATGTGTTGAGATATAGAAACGTGGTGCCAAGGGTGAGTGGTGGTGAGGCCTGGCATGGAAAGGTATAGGGCAGGGCAGGGCAGGGCTGGCAGTGCCCGACCAACCCTTCCCCTGCCCGGGCCGTCGCAGCCCACGCCGCCGCCACCACCACCACACACGCTGAGGACCGACCACGCCTCCCTCACCCTCACCACCTCCATCCTCCCTATACCTCCTGCAGCACCACTAATACTTACACCCTTGATCTGTATACACACTTACCCCTTCTACACCCTCATTAGCCACACCCTCACCTCTGCACTCCTCCTGACAGCTTCACTACCTGTACTATCCCTAGCTACACCCTCACTGCCTCACATCCTGCACTCTTGATACGCCCGCCGCCCCTGAGCCGTGGGTGTGAGGGAGCAGCTCTCAGGGCCACACGTGGATACCAGCGTCTTGGTGCTCCGGTGCGATTCCTTTATTTTTGTATATATAACACGAAGGCACTGCTTCTCAGAAGGTGCGCCCCGTCACACAGCTGTCGACCCTAGCCGCGCCAGATGTAAGTGACTGTCATACAACAACAAATGAACGCGTTAACGCAGTGAAGGTGTTGGTGATTTACCTGAACTAAGTAAAGGAAATTAAATTCAGTGATATTACCGCCTGAAGTGAAATTGGTGTCGCAGATCTTATTTAAAGTATGAAGTATCCATCAGTGAGTGCTGGACGGAACAAAACATTATTGCGTGCGGCAGTGAAAAAGTCTTACAGCTAAAAATCGACCATTTCTGAGTTCTAGCACGTGGAAGAGTAAAGAACTGAACACGTGGCTAGTTACCCCGTGACAAGCTTTGAGTGGCGGACGCAACACACGGGAGAGCCAGCCAGGTGTACGAGACACACGGGGCGAGTGTTGCCGCACTAGGAGGGTGTCACGCCCCTCCACAACAATCCTGTCTCTCCGGTGTACGAGTGCTGGGGTTGTCTCAGCTGTCTCCCTGACAGCACAGTTTTTACGTGTACCTGTTTCTGCACTACCACCCCATCAACTACCACCTCCACTACACTATCAACTACCACAACATCAACAATCACAACCACCACAACTTCAACAACCTCAATCACCACCACCAAGGTAGGTACCTTCTGAGGTCTTCACTTGTGCTCACTTCACGTTTATTTCTTAGGTTCACACAGGGTAAATATATGCAGCCTGAGCCAGGTACAGTACGGTACACGCTCCCAGTTCTCGCCAGCCTCCGCCGTAACTGTTAAACCTCGACAAGTAACGTTAGATACATACAAAACAAATTTATACGACAAAAGTACTTCTTGATGAAATTTTACATAAACATGACACCTGTGGCAGATGGAATAACACAGTCGACAGCGTTAAAATATACTTGTTCTCATAAAAGCCAAGATGTAGAATCTGAGAAGGTTAGGGCGCCGCCAGCCGCTCGCTAGGACGTGACAGGTGAGGCAACCCAGGCAGATAGAGAGGAAGGGTGGTGGTAACAAGCACATTGTAGACGTGACGTGTGATCAGCATGGCGGGCGTTAGAGCGACAGTACAGTATGTAAAACTACAAAGATAATTCCACAATCCATTAAAAAGCAAAAACCACAAGTTAACACGGACACTAAAGGTAAGAGATGTGATCTGAAAGGCGGGCAGGAGAGTACGGAAGTGCGGAAGACTACAAAGGAAACTGTACGGCAGATGTTTTATGTGGGGAGAAAGACGTAAACAGTGATAGATGTAAGTAACTAAATCAGGGTGATGAATGTGAGACTGTGAGACTGTGAAGGTGGGGTGACTGTGAAGGTGGGGTGACTGTGAAGGTGGGGTGACTGTGAAGGTGGGGTGACTGTGAAGGTGGGGGTGACTGAAGGACTGTGAAGGTGGGGCGGACTGTGAAGGTGGGGTGACTGTGAAGGTGGGGTGACTATGAAGGCAGGGTGACTATGAAGGTGGGGTGACTATGAAGGTGGGGTGACTGTGAAGGCAGGGTGACTGTGAAGGTGGGACAATTAAATTCATTTGTTGCTAAAGACTAACCCACAGGTGTAGTGAGGATGGTGGGTGGGGGGGGAGAACAGCCAGGTGGATAACAATGGCTAGATAGAAAGACAGATGAAAAGGTAAACAATGTGGGTCTGTTTTGTTTACATCAGTACTTGGTGAAAAGGGTGACAGGGGGGTGATAAGGGTTACTATGTCAACACACCCAGTTACTATGTCAACACACCCAGTTACTATGTCAACACACCCAGTTACTATGTCAACACACCCAGTTACTATGTCAACACACCCAGTTACTATGTCAACACACCCAGTTACTATGTCAACACACCCAGTTACTATGTCAACACACCCAGTTACTATGTCAACACACCCAGTTACTATGTCAACACACCCAGTTTACTACTGTCAACACACCCAGTTACTATGTCAACACAACACACCCAGTTACTATGTCAACACACCCAGTTACTATGTCAACACACCCAGTTACTATGTCAACACACCCAGTTACTATGTCAACACACCCAGTTACTATGTCAACACACCCAGTTACTATGTCAACACACCCAGTTACTATGTCAACACACCCAGTTACTATGTCAACAATTCCAGTTACTATGTCAACACACCCAGTTACTATGTCAACACACCCAGTTACTATGTCAACACACCCAGTTACTATGTCAACAAACCCAGTTACTATGTCAACACACCCAGTTGCTAGGAACATCATCAAACCTCACGCCTAAGCATATTTCTCTATGACAACAAAAGAAAACAAAGAATAAATATCAATATACCGTAAAGTGTCTAGTAAATAGTGTTGGTGTTTGTTATATTATTTAAGATGAAACACTGAGGGAGAGGCGGCGTGCGTGTAGGCAGCCCGGCAGTGACTGAATCAGGTGAGAGAAGCAAAACCAGGCCGTCAACAATAGCGAGTGACAGCTGGTCTTACTCTAGCGTGGAGACCCCCTGCCACTCCCTCCCTCCAGACACGAGTGCACACATACGCGCAAACGCAAGTACGTACATGACAAAGGTGCCTTGCGTACACAGTTTAACTACACTTGATTATTAGTTATACAGGTAAAAATCTACTCTAATGAGACGGCCTTTACCTGCCACACACACACACACACACACACACACGTCTTCGCTTCTCTAGTGTCTCTATGGGCGGGAGATAAAGACCAATTAGCTAATGGAGGGATAGTGTGTGAAGGAGAATGATGGAGGGGGAGGGATGGTGTGGGAGGGAGGATGGAGGATGGAGGGATAGAGAGTAATAAAGGAGGGAGAGTTGAGCAATAGATAAAGCCATAAATGGAAGTGACAGGAGGCGATGAGGTGAGGTGTGATTTATGGGGTCATGTAAGCGAGGTTAAAGAGGATATATAGAAGAGAGAGAGAGAGAGAGAGAGAGAGAGAGAGAGAGAGAGAGAGAGAGAGAGAGAGAGAGAGAGAGGTAAGAGGATAAAAGGAGAAAGTGAGAAAGTGCAAAAAAAAATACTATAAAGAGTAGGAAAAATAAATGAAAGAAAGGGAGAAAATTGAGATAACAAAACAAGAGAGGAAATAGAAGAAATCAGTAAAAAACAAACACCAAAAGCGATAACTAAGGGAGGTAAGAGACAGGAGAGATAGAGGGAGGAGGAGTGGGGATAACTTATCATCATCTCTGCCACACACGCCATCAGCTGGTCTCATGACATCAGCTGTTTGGTCTTGTTTACACCTCATGTATCCACCTCCCCTCCTCAGAGCCACCGCCTCCATGTGACTCGACATAAGAGAGGTTCTTAGGTTCTCTGGCTCATGCTATAAGAACCTGTAGTTGATGGAAGGGGAACATAAGGGCTCTCCGGTTCACTGTTTATGGTTCATGCTTTATGAAGAACCACCCACTGGCTCTAGCAGGTTCAGCTATGGTTCACTGGATGGACGGCAGGTTCTGTAGTATCATGTAGTGAGAACCACCACTTCGCTGTGACCTCAATATGGACATCAGTTTCCTCAGCCGCCACAGAAATAATCACACACATCGACTAACCATTAACCACACACAAAAAACACAAGTCATGGTATCAGCTAAACATAATCTACGAACCCCTAAACAAACTATTCCCATCTACATACCTACAGTAAAAAAAAACAACAACAATCAAAATATTAACTAAAAACGTCTACAAAACCCAGACTAACACGTAAACAAACCCTAATCTCTTCAATTAATGAGAGACTTACACACTCGGTCTCTGACGCAGCGGAGAGATAGCACTAACAGAGATGTCTCCCTGTCATGCACGGGGAGATAGATGCTATAATAAGAAGTCATGAGGCGAGTGTGATTACTTGGTACGTCAACGATTGTCAGGGGGGTGAGGGGGTGGAGGGGGGCTTGTGTTAGATGGGGTGAGGGAGGCTTGCGTGACAGGTATGATGAAGCCCTGGCTCTTGTTCTTAGTTATATAACCCTGAAGTAAAGACTCACGGGTAGTTGACAGTTGAGTTTTTGCTACGTCTGAGGAAATGAAACGAGAAACGAGAGAAAGACAGGGAAAGGACGGAGGAGAGAGAGAGACAGTGAGGGGAGGGGAGAAAGACAGAGAAAGAACGAAGGAAAGATGGTGGGGGAGGGGGAGGGGAAGGAGGGAGGGGAGAAATACAGACAACCATAACTCCATCACCCATCAGGGATCTTTAGCCGTGTGTCATGAAGCACTTGCTAGCGGGCGGTATATAACTAGATAAAGGCCTTACCCAACACCTGCAAGTATTAGCTCTGTTCGCTGGGAGGAGTGTAGGTGATGAACAAGAACCTTACTGGGCCTAGGAGGACACGGGGTGGAGAGGTTGGGATGGAGAGGGGGTGATGGTCTAGGAGGACACGGGGTGGAGAGGTTGGGATGGAGAGGGGGTGATGGTCTAGGAGGACACGGGGTGGAGAGGTTGGGATGAGAGGGGTGATGGTCTAGGAGGACACGGGGGTGGAGGCTGGGATGGAGAGGGGGTGATGGTCTAGGAGGACACGGGGTGGAGAGGTTGGGATGAGAGGGGTGATGGTCTAGGAGGACACGGGGTGGAGAGGTTGGGATGGAGGAGGGTGATGGTCTATGAGGACACGGGGTGGAGAGGTTGGGATGGAGAGGGGGTGATGGTCTAGGAGGACACGGGGTGGAGAGGTTGGGATGGAGAGGGGTGATGGTCTAGGAGGACACGGGGTGAGAGGTTGGGATGGAGTGAGGGTGATGGTCTAGGAGGACACGGGGTGAGAGGTTAGGATGAAGAAGGGGTGATGGTCTAGGAGGACACGGGGTGGAGAGGTTAGGATGAAGAAGGGGTGATGGCCTAGGAGGACACGGGGTGGAGAGGTTGGGATAGAGAGGGGTGATGGCCGTGGGTGTTACATAAGTAGGGACAGTGATGATAACACATTCCTTACGACAGAGAATATTAAGCACCAATACATTAAACCTGAAAACAAAGGTGACAAAGACTTGATCTATGTCCGCGGTGAAGTGTACAGTGGAGAAAACATCCAGCAGTCAAGTCAGGTAATGAATATACTGAGGTGCCTAAATGTTGCTAAAAATACTGCCTTGTGTCCTACCAATAGCCCGAAGTTGTAAATGTTGGTGACCTTAACTAAAGATCTTCACAGAAGGTACTATGCAAAACACACCCACACACACACACACACACACACACACACACACACACACACACACACACACACACACACACACACACACACACACACACACACACACACACACACACACACACACACACACACCCACACACACACACACACACACACACACACACACACTTCTGCATTGGTGAGCATTAACAGCAAAGCCACATACTCTAATTATCTTCAGTGGACTGTAGCTTTTTCATGGTCGGTTTAATACATTTACATAATTATAAGTATTGGCAATGGATACTCTTCATCATTATAGACATATTGTTTATCTCAGCATGATACTGAATGTAATGTTTGGTGTCTCCCTTCAGGACGACGTGGGTGTGCAAGTAGCGGCTCCTCACCACACGGGCACCTCACTCCGGTACCTGCTGCCTCTTGGCTCTCTACTTCCGGAGTGCTACCGCTTCCACACCTGCTGCTTATGTTGGCCCTCTACACCTGAAGTGACCCCACCTCCACACCTGCTGCCTCTACCCCGAAGTGACTCATTACGTGCTCGTTTAATATATTTTTGGGAATAAAAAAAAAGTGATGTGTCAAGAATTTATATGCACAGCAAACCAAGCTTTGAACTCATACTTGGGAAGGTGAAATTACCCGAGAAAAGATCTTATCTGAGCAGTCATCCCATACAACCTGCCAACCAGTGTTAGTGTCAACCATTCACACCTCGAACCATTTTCCGGCATTCCCAAAGCTGAAAAGCAGAAGTGTTGTCATTAAGGCCTAAAATCGTCTCCCAGACCCCCTTCCCCATCATCCTCAATGACCCAGGAGTCTCAGCTCACACTGTAATAATAGTGGTATTGTGCTGTTGATTAACATTATCTGTAACACATATTTACTATTTGTATATAAACTACCAAAACTAGCCGCAGCTCCTCCACTGTACATATAAACTAGCAACAATACCCTGAGGTCTTCCAGTGCGCCAGCCTCAACTGTGATCACTTAACAGCTTAAGTGAGGCGATCGTCTCCCCTCCGCCCAGCACCCGCGGGTCGCCAGACTCCGGCAGCGGCCACACCTCCCTCACCATGTCCACGTGTTGCCGGTGTTTGTGTTGCCGGGAAGAGAGCTCCGACGACTCCGACTTGGAGGAGGAGGTGCCCCTCCCTCCTGGCCTCCTGCCCGTGCAGAATGAATCCAAGGCCCAGGAAACCGTGCCCATCCACACCCCCTCCGCCAGCAGGTAACAGTAACACGCCCTTTTTCAGTGTTAAGGCTGACTCAACACACCAACTCGTGTGGATAACCGCTGCTGGAATCATTAATCCTCTCCCGGAAAGAGAACTGGTTATCGATTTCCTGTTTTAACTGTCATGTGTATGTGTGTGTACGTGTGTCTGTGAAAAATATTCCGAAAACAGGCTTATTAGTATTTGTTTTTTTATTTTGTATTGGGTCGAGCGGTGGTCAAGTACTGTTTAAACTTAAGAGGCAGTAAGTAAAAATTCAAAGTCTTACGTCCAGCTTAGAATGAGTCACCTGCCCTTCGATAATTATGCCAAAACCAGGTGACTGATTATGTTCAAACTTGGCAGGTGATTCATATGTTTAGCAACAACTATGTGATTTGTGATGAGGTCAAAGGACTAGGTTACCAATGAAGGTCAAGGACAAAGACATAATAAAATACCTCAACAGTCACCATACCTGTACAGCCTCTACGGGAGCATTACCTGTAGGAGGACATGACTGACTGCTCTTCTCACTACTGTAAGAGATGTTGATGTGTGGACTAAGGCATCGCCACTTTAGCCGCTGCCAGACATACCTCATCCTTCACACATCGTAAACATGATGGATTTTGACACTCATTTTTGTCACTTATGAGCGACAAGCTACACGCGTCACTTTCTTTTTCTGACGGAGAAATAAATCACTTTAAAAGAGATTATCTATAATACTGAAAGTAATGTTTCCTTGATCGCTGTCATGTCCGCGAGAGTTACATATATCACGTCATAATAACTCAACATATGATATATCAGTAAGTAAAGTAGTGAACATCCATCACGTCACAATAACGAGAATATATAAATGTAAAAACAGTGAGTCATAAAAATAGACACAAATAACAAAAAATATATTGCTTATTGTCAACAAAAACTTCTATATATTGTACCATTAAGTTTCAAGAGAGTATCGTCTGATAAACATGAGTATTAATGCCTCCAGCACGACCAACACTCCTTACTGTTGTTGACAAGTGAACAAGTGGTCTACGACAACCACCATTATTTACATGGTTGATTTGTCTTCGACTGTGAGGGAGAGACGTGTAGCCTTGCCAGTCACGTAGGAACGAGAAGCTGACGTGGTGTCGTAGTTCTTGTGTAAGCAGAGTCTAGATGCTGGTTCTCTCGGTACTTATACCTCGTTACCTAACACAACACTCAACGTTAGTCTCAAAGTCTTGTTGGTGCTGACGAATGGCGTGCCTTCTCCAGTAACCCAGCAAGATATTAGCTCACATAACACTATGCAATACTGACGGAGCATTGTTCAAGCATCTTAACGTAATTCAAATAACTGGATCAAATCTATCACCACTAGCAAAGTTATCACAATGTAGAAAAAGTAAATAAACTTGAAATCATAGATAAATTTTCCTTTCAAGTTTGTATGAAGCTAACTCACCCTGTCACGCCTTATATAACTTACTTCAGGCCAAATCCCGGTATAAGACAGTGTGACCGCGATAAACAGAAACAGCCACGCCTTACAACCACCACCACGCCCCCGTCGCTCGCCACTACCTGTCCTTCGTCACCTAGCGTCACTACTGTAGGTAAAATAACTAAAGCAGCAGAGAATGTAATATTTAACTCCAGGATGAGAGAAATCCTTCCCAAGTGGCCAAGTTTCAGAACAAAAATAATTAGTTTCTGGAGACAACTTTAATTGGATAAGTTTAAATTTGTAGGTGTCAGGGCGTGTAAGAATCTATCAGGAATCATCATCCTGAGAGGAACACTGACTAGGAGGCGTATAGGTGGGTGGCAGGCAGTGAGGTGAGGGCTGGGCTGTGTGTGAGTGGCAGCAGCAGGTGAGGAGGTGAGTGTCCTGGCCCTCACGGTACACACACACACGTCAGAACTATGGGAGGCCTTTAGATATATAACTAAAAAAACTGTGACGGGGGAAGGTGTAACAAATGACAGCCAGCGAATCAGGTACCACTAATACGGAACTCGTGGCGTGAAGTTCCTGACCGCAGTGGAGGGAGAGACTACAGATAAATTACAACTGGACTGGGAATTCAACGTCACTCCTGGAGGCTTGCCATCTAGCGGCGGAAGAATCGTGAAGAAGAAATAAACTACCGACACAATGTATAGGACTGCTGGTGATATGACTGATTCTAATGGGTAGTGAAATAAAAGATTAGAATACGAAATACAAAATCAAAATACGAAAAACAAACGATACGAGAAACAAAATAAGAATACGAAATACAAAATAAAAATACAAAATGCAAAATCAGAATACGAATTACACGTTGAGATACATTCATTAAGCTTGTTTCATATTATTAAAAAGGGTCGGCAACTTTGGGGTGTTTGTAGAGGATTTAGCGACACCAGAGGACCGACGACTGGGAAAACGCATTGCATTTATTAACCATTAAATTCATGTAATAATCAACTCAAGAATGTAAATAATAAAAAAATAGATGAATCATAAAAATACTATTAAATAAAATAAATAAATAAATAAATAAATAAATAAATAAATATATATAATTGAATAAATATGCGTTCGTAGTTAAAAATTGTGATGACGAATCGGAAAAAAATGAAGAAAACGGGAAACGATAAGATGTACACAGAGTAATTAGACTGGTAATATTTTTTTGAGGGTAAGTGGTTAGGTATAGCACTGTGTAGCTATGTTACTGTGGTAGTCGGACACACACACACACACACACACACCAATAAAAATCAAAACACTGAATAAATCGAGGCTATGAAAGGTACATTTAAGTCAAGGTGGCCTTTTGACTGGCCGGGGCAAAGGAACCTGGCCCTTAAGCAGTCAGGTCACTGGGGTTATTTTTACCCATCTCCACTAAAGTGCCACAGAAATATGCGACATTGATGTTTTGGAGTAGGTGGGGATATGTATGTATGTATGTATGTATGTATTTGTGTGTGTGTGTGATTTATGAAGCTGTCTGTGGTGTTGAGAGAGAGAGAGAGAGAGAGAGAGAGAGAGAGAGAGAGAGAGAGAGAGATGATGAACGAGAGGAAGAGATAAATAAATAACAAGTAAATAATAATTGTGTTTAGCGTCAGGGACAAAAACCACCATATACCCCCTTGGCACTCCCTCCAGCTCGCTTTTTTTAGTATACAAATAACAATCTATATTTACCGTGTGTGTGTGTGTGTGTGTGTGTGTGTGTGTGTGTGTGTGTGTGTGTGTGTGTGTGTGTGTGTGTGTGTGGTGTGTGTGTGGTGTGTGTGTGGTGTGTGTGTGTGTGTGTGTGTGTGTAGTGTGCCTATGTGTGTGTCTGTCTTAGTGTGTATGTTTGAGGTACATGTATTCGTTTGACCAATAAATACATGGATAGATTAGGGCCTTGTATAACCTAACCTAACCTAATCGAACTTAACCCATCCTAACCCACCCTAACTCAACCCATATCCTCACCCACACCACTACTTACCCCACCTCCCTACCCACCCCTTCCACCCCCTCCCACATCCTCCCCCTTCCCCCCACCTGTCAAGATTGTGTTTTTTTTTATTTACTTTGCACTGGTAGCGGCGTCGTGCCAAGCCTGCTGGCATGGCGAGCAGCCGTCGGCTGGGTGGGCCACGATGACTTTATGACGGGTGGACTGGGTGGGTCTGGTGGGTTATGCTTCTGAGCTATGATCGATCAAGTAAGCTGGGTCAGGTAGGCCAGAGGAACATGGTGTGAGGCACTTTTAGTTCCGGTAAGTGTAACAGAGCTGAGTGCCTCGAGGTAGTTTACTTAAGCAGTTTTACAATATTCAAGGTACATTTTAAAACTGCCTCGTTCATATATGTGGTAAGTGTGTCTCATAGTCGTGACGGCGTGGATATACCAACACTCTCCAACAGACATCCGAACGATACTGAACAGACTCCTAACTTGATCTGTTACTGTACTGATTAAACCAAGAATTACTGACAATTATTCCTCCAAACAAGTGATGCTTCTGAGAGTCTTCTTTGCTCAACTGTGACAAACAATGAATTTTCTGCCACATTCACTTCACACTAAATGAGGCGAAGAGTTTATGGTTCCAAAACACACAACAGTTTATTTATACTTGACGTTTCTTGTAGTAAACAATTCGGGTAAACTTTTCAAGTAGTTGCCAAGCGTTGACAAAGGAACAAATTAATACCTTTATCTGCGTTACGTGGCTCATTACTAGGGTATATATAACCCACTTAATACTCAAGGAAATAATCTGATATGAAATAATTTAGAGAATATATAATTTAGTTCAACAAGCAGGAAAAAAGTATTAATCTACTTTTCTCCGTCGGCGACTTTTCAATTATTTTCCACCAGTAAGAAAGTGAGCAAAAGTGACGAGTTGAGCTACTGGCACAACTAAAAGCTAGAATTAATGAATGTAAAAAAGCTATCCGTCTTATTATCTCTCTCTCTCTCTCTCTCTCTCTCTCTCTCTCTCTCTCTCTCTCTCTCTCTCTTGTGATGCAACTTGCCTCACTCGCATCTGTCGCCGGCTGTCCTGCCTTCCACGCCTCACACCAATTCTGGGTTAAATCTACGGCTCCATTTAACCAGATTACACTTAATACATCCACGCCTTTAACTTAACTCTCGTCAACAGCATCAAGTTCCCTCTATCTCGTTAACAGTTGTGATTCTGTCTCTAGTGTTTCTCGCCTGTTACCTGATAGTTATTGATACACCCAGTTGGGCTCTCGCTCGTTACATAATAAACCAGAGAGAGTTTAACGAGGCCATTACCCGCAACAGCACCAATGAGTGCCAGCAACGTGTTACCTGGCTCCCCTCTACTTCACTACCTTCTCTATCTCTCCTTTTGTGTCTCGTCTTACCTCCCTTCCTCCCTCTTCTCTCCCTATCCGTCCTTCACCTTCCTCCTCCCACTCTCTCCACTCCTTCCCCCTACCTCACCTCTTTCTTCCCTTCCTCCCACTCCTCACTCTCATCTTA